GAGTTGGAGAAGCTGAGTGATGTTGAGGGCGTTGGAGACGCCGAGTGGTGTTGGGGACATTGCAGACGCCACGTGGTGTTGAGGGCGTAGGATACGCCGTGTGGTGTTAAGGGCGTTGAAGACGCCGGGAGGTGTTGGGGGCTTTCGAACCGTTATGTGGTGTTGAGGGCGTTGAAGACGCCGAGTGGTGCTGAGGGCGTTGGAGACCCTGAGTGGTGTTGAGGGCTTTGGAGACGCGGCGTTGTGTTGGGATATTTGGAGACGCCGTGTGGTGTTGAGTTCGTTGGAGACGCCGTGTGGTGTTGAGGGTGCTGGTGATGGTGAGATGTGTTGGCGCGTTGCAGACGCTGTGTGGTGTTGAGGGCGTTTGGTGACGCCATGTGGTGTTAGGGCTTTGGAGACGCCATGTGGTGTTGAGGGCGTTGGAGACGCCCTGTGGTGTTGAGGGTGTTGGAGACGCTGAGTGGTGTTGGGGGCGTTGCAGACGCCGTGTAGTGTTGAGGAGGTAGGAGACGCCGTGTGGTGTTGAGGGCGTTGGAAACGCCCTGTGGTGTTGAGGTTGTTGGTGACGCCTTGTGGTGTTCAGGGTGTTGGTGACACCGTGTGATGTTGGGGGCGTTGGAGACACCGAGTTATGTTGGGGGCGCTGGGGACGCCGTGTGGTGTTGGGGGCATTGGTGACGTCATGTGGTGTTGAGGGGGTTCGAGACGCTCTGTGGTGTTGAGAGCGTTGGACACGCCGTGTGGTGTTGAGGGCGTTGGAGACGCCCTGTGGTGTGGAGGGTGTTGGAGACGCCGTGTGGTGTTGGGGGCGTTGGAGAAGCCGTGTGGTGTTGAGGGCGTGGGAGTCGCCGAGTGGTGATGCGGGCGTTGCAGACGCCGTGTGGTGTTAAGGGTGTATGAGACGCCGTGTGGTGTTAAGGGCGTTGGAGACGCTGGGAGGTGTTGGCGGCGTTGGAGACGCCGTGTGGTGTTGAGGGCGTCGGTGACGTTGTGTGGTGTTGAGGGCGTTAGAGACGCCATGAGGTGCTGAGGGCGTTGGAGATCCTGAGTGGTGTTGAGGGCGTTGGAGACGCCGTGTGGTGTTGAGGGCGTCGGTGACGTTGTGTGGTGTTGAGGGCGTTCGCGACGACGTGTGTTGTTGAGGGTGTTGGAGACGCCGTGTGGTGTTGAGGGCATTGGAGACGCCTTGTGGTGTTGAGGGTGTTGGTGACGCACTGTGGTGTTGAGGGTGTTTGAGACCCTGTGTGGTGTTGGGGGCGTAGGAGACACCGAGTTGTGTTGGGGGCGTTGGGGACGCCGGTTGGTGTTGGGGGCATTAGAGACGCCTTTTGGTTTTAGGGGCATTGGTGACGCCATGCGGTGTTGAGGGGGTTGGAGACGCCCTGTGGTGTTGAGGGTGTTGCAGACGCCGTGTGGAGTTGAGGGCGTTGGAGACGCCGTGTGGAGTTGAGGGCGTTGGAGATGCCGTGTGGTGTTGAGGGTGTTGGAGACGCCATGTGGTGTTGAGGGCGTAGGAGACACAGTGTGCTGTTGAGGGCGTTGGAGTCGCTGAGTGGTGTAGAGGGCGTTGGAGAAGCTAAGTGATGTTGTTGGCGTTGAGGACGCCGTGTTGTGTTGAGGGCGTGGAGTTGCCGAGTGGTGTTGAGGGCGTTGGAGACACCGAGTGGTGTTGAGGGCGTTGGAGACGCCGAGTGGTGTTGGAGGCATTGCAGACGCCACGTTGTGTTGAGGGCGTAAGGAGACGCCGTGTGGTGTTAAGGGCGTTGAAGACGCCGGGAGGTGTTGAGGGCTATGTAGACCCCGAGTGGTGCTGAGGGCGTTGGAAACCCCGAGTGGTGTTGAGGCCTTTGGTGACGCAGCGTTGTGTTGGGATAGTTGGAGACGCCGTGTGGTGTTGAGTGCGTTGGAGATGCAGTGTGGTGTTGAGGGTGTTGGTGACGGAGAGTGGTGTTGGGACGTTGGAGACGCCGTGTGGTGTTGAGGGCGTTGGTGACGCCATGTGGTGTTGGGGCTTTGGAGACGCCATGTGGTGTTGTGTGCGTTAGAGACGCCCTGTGGTGTTGAGGACATTGGTGACGCCCTGTGGTGTTGGAGGCGTTTAGGACGCGGTATGGTGTTGTTGGTGTTGAAGACGCCGTGTGGTGTTGAGGGCGTTGGAGACACCCTGTGGTGTTGACGGTGTTGGTGATACACTGTAGTGTTGAGGGTGTTGCAGACGCCTTGTGGTGTTCAGGGTGTTGGTGACGCCGTGTGATGTTCGGGGCATTGGTGACGTCATGTGGTGTTGAGGGTGTTGAAAACGCCGTGTGGTGTTGTGGGCGTTGGAGTCGCCGAGAGGTGAAGAAGGCGTTGGAGACGCTGAGTGATGTTGAGGGCGTTGGGCACGCCGTGTTGTGTTAAGGGCGTTGGAGACGCTGAGTGGTGTTGAGGGTGTTGGAGACGCCGAGTGATGTTGAGGGCGTTGGAGACGCCGAGTGGTGTTGAGGGCGTTGGAGTCACCGAGTGATTTTGAGGGCGGTGGAGACGCCGAGTGGTGTTGAGGGCGTTGGAGACGACGTGTGGTGTTGAGGGCGTTGGGGACGCCGTGTGGTGTTTAGGGCGTTGGAGTAGCCGTGTGGTGTTTAGAGCGTTGGAGGAGCAGAGTGGTGTTGCGGGCGTTGCAGATGCCGTGTGGTGTTGAGGGTGTAGGGGACGCCGTGTGGTGTTAAGAGCGTTGGAAACTCCGAGAGGTGTAGGTGGCGTTGGAGACTTTGTGTAGTATTGAGGGCGATTGAGACGGTAAGTGATGTTGAGGGCGTTGGAAACATCCTGTGGTGTTGAGGGTGTTGCAGACGCCTTGTGGTGTTCAGGGTTTTGGTGACGCCGTGTGGTGTTAAGGGCGTTGGAGACACCGAGTTGTGTTGGGGCACTGGGGACGCCGTGTAGTGTTGGGGGCATTGGAGACGCATTGTGGTGTTGGGGACATTGGTGACGTCATGTGGTGATGAGGGGGTTGGAGACACCCTGTAGTGTTTAGGGTGTTGCAGACGCCGTGTGGTGTTGAGGGTGTAGAAAACGCCGTGTGGTGTTGGGGGCGTTGGAGAAGACGAGTGGTGTTGAAGGCGTTGGAGTCGCCGAGAGGTGAAGAGGGCGTTGGAGACGCTGAGTGATGTTGCGGGCGTTGGGGACGCCGTGTTTTGCAGAGGGCGTTGGAGACGCTGAGTGGCTTTCAGGGCGTTGGAGAGGCCGAGTGATGTTGAGGGCGTTGGAGACTCCGAGTGTTGTTGGGGGCTTTGGAGACGTTGTGTGGTGTTGAGGGCGTTAGAGACGGTAAGTGGCATTGAGGGCGTTGGAGACGCCCTGTGGTGTGGAGGGTGTTGGAGACGCCGTATGGTGTTGAGGTCGTTGGAGTCGCCGAGAGGTGAACAGGGCGTTGGAGACGCTGAGTGATGTTGAGGGCTTTGGGGATGCCGTGTGGTGTTAAGGGCGTTGGAGACGGCGAGTGATTTTGAAGGTGGTGGACGTTGTGTGGTGTTGAGGGCGTTGGGGACGCCGTGTGGTGTTTAGGGCGTTGGAGTAGCCGTGTGGTGTTGAGGGCGTTGGAGACGCAGGGTGGTGTTTGAATCGTAGGAGACGTCGTGTGGCGTTGAGGGCGTTGGAGGCACCGAGTGGTGTTGAGAGCGTTGAAGAGGCCAAGTGGTGTTGCGGGCGATGCAGACGCCGTGTGGTGTTGAGGGTGTAGGAGACGCCATGTGGTGTTAAGGGCGTTGGAGACACCGGGAGGTGTTGGGAGTGTTGGAGACTTTGTGAGGCATTCAGGGCGTTGGAGACGGTTAGTGGTGTTGAGGGCGTTGAAAACGTCCTTTGGTGTTGAGGGTGTTGGAGACGCCGTGTGGTGTTGAGGGCTTTGGAGACGCCGAGTTGTGTTGAGGGCGTTGGAAACGCTCTGAGGTGTTGAGGGTGTTGCAGACGCCTTGTGGTGTTCAGGGTGTTGGTGACGCCGTGTGATGTTGGGGGCGTTGGAGACACCGAGTTGTGTTGGGGGCGCTGGGGACGCCGTGTGGTGTTGGGGGCATTGGTGACGTCATGTGGTGTTGAGGGTGTTGAAAACGCCGTGTGGTGTTGTGGGCGTTGGAGTCGCCGAGAGGTGAAGAAGGCGTTGGAGACGCTGAGTGATGTTGAGGGCGTTGGGCACGCCGTGTTGTGTTGAGGGCGTTGGAGACGCTGAGTGGTGTTGAGGGTGTTGGAGACGCCGAGTGATGTTGAGGGCGTTGGAGACGCCGAGTGGTGTTGAGGGCGTTGGAGTCACCGAGTGATTTTGAGGGCGGTGGAAACGCCGAGTGGTGTTGAGGGCGTTGGAGACGACGTGTGGTGTTGAGGGCGTTGGGGACGCCGTGTGGTGTTTAGGGCGTTGGAGTAGCCGTGTGGTGTTTAGAGCGTTGGAGGAGCAGAGTGGTGTTGCGTGCGTTGCAGATGCCGTGTGGTGTTGAGGGTGTAGGGGACGCCGTGTGGTGTTAAGGGCGTTGGAAACTCCGAGAGGTGTAGGTGGCGTTGGAGACTTTGTGTGGTATTGAGGGCGATTGAGACGGTAAGTGGTGTTGAGGGCGTTGGAAACATCCTGTGGTGTTGAGGGTGTTGCAGACGCCTTGTGGTGTTCAGGGTTTTGGTGACGCCGTGTGGTGTTAAGGGCGTTGGAGACACCGAGTTGTGTTGGGGCACTGGGGACGCCGTGTAGTGTTGGGGGCATTGGAGACGCCTTGTGGTGTTGGGGACATTGGTGACGTCATGTGGTGATGAGGGGGTTGGAGACACCCTGTAGTGTTTATTGTGTTGCAGACGCCGTGTGGTGTTGAGGGTGTTGAAAACGCCGTGTGGTGTTGGGGGCGTTGGAGAAGACGAGTGGTGTTGAAGGCGTTGGAGTCGCCGAGAGGTGAAGAGGGCGTTGGAGACGCTGAGTGATGTTGAGGGCGTTGGGGACGCCGTGTTTTGCAGAGGGCGTTGGAGACGCTGAGTGGCTTTCAGGGCGTTGGAGAGGCCGAGTGATGTTGAGGGCGTTGGAGACTCCGAGTGTTGTTGGGGGCTTTGGAGACGTTGTGTGGTGTTGAGGGCGTTAGAGACGGTAAGTGGCATTGAGGGCGTTGGAGACGCCCTGTGGTGTGGAGGGTGTTGGAGACGCCGTATGGTGTTGAGGTCGTTGGAGTCGCCGAGAGGTGAACAGGGCGTTGGAGACGCTGATTGATGTTGAGGGCTTTGGGGATGCCGTGTGGTGTTAAGGGCGTTGGAGACGGCGAGTGACTTTGAAGGTGGTGGACGTTGTGTGGTGTTGAGGGCGTTGGGGACGCCGTGTGGTGTTTAGGGCGTTGGAGTAGCCGTGTGGTGTTGAGGGCGTTGGACACGCAGGGTGGTGTTTGAATCGTAGGAGACGTCGTGTGGCGTTGAGGGCGTTGGAGACACCGAGTGGTGTTGAGAGCGTTGAAGAGGCCAAGTGGTGTTGCGGGCGTTGCAGACGCCGTGTGGTGTTGAGAGTGTAGGAGACGCCATGTGGTGTTAAGGGCGTTGGAGACACCGGGAGGTGTTGGGGGCGTTGGAGACTTTGTGTGGCATTCAGGGCGTTGGAGACGGTTAGTGGTGTTGAGGGCGTTGAAAACGTCCTTTGGTGTTGAGGGTGTTGGAGACGCCGTGTGGTGTTGAGGGCTTTGGAGACGCCGAGTTGTGTTGAGGGCGTTGGAAACGCCCTGAGGTGTTGAGGGTGTTGGAGACGCCGTGTGGTGTTGAGGACGTTGGTGACGTTGTGTGGTGTTGAAGGCTTTAGAGACGCCAGTAGTGTGGTTGAGGACTACGGCGACGCGCGCGGCACCTGCCAGGTGTCAGTCACCTTCAGGTGAGTGCCACCCGACAGGTGTCGCGCGCGTCGTCGTAGTCCTCAGGGGTTTTGGGGAATTTCCCGGAAGTTTTGGCGTGTTTCGGACGCGTGTGAGCGTCCGGTGTTTGGGTATGTGGACAGGAAAGAGTGGAGGTCATGTTGATGAGTGCCAGGTGGTGCGCGTCGCTCCCGTCCTCAAGTTTTTTTCGGGGAATTTCCCGGAAGTTATGGCGCGTGTCGGAGGTAATTGGAGCGCGTCGCTCCAGTCCTCATGGGTTAAGGTAAGTGGTCAGGAAAGATGGGAGTTCATGTTGTAGGAGAGTATGTGTGCTATGTGGTAGAGTAGGAAAAATACAAGGATAAGAGTGGAATATGAGGAAGGAGTAAATGAATATGTATGTGTGTTTGTCATAGACTTAATCCTGAGTGAGGTTAATATTAGTTTGATGATCGTGATTAGAGGATGAGAGGGGAACCAGCATATTGGATATGTTGTTTGGGGAGGGGTGAGGGGGGGGAGGGAGAGGAGAACCCACATACCTGAGAGGAAGGCCGGGGAGGTCCATACAAAGGAGAAACAAAACTACATCTGAAAGGTTAGGAAAAGGATAATATATTCAACAAATCTGTCAAAAACACCATAAACTACATCTGAAAGGTTAGGTTAAAAGGTTGGGGAATACGAATAAATAAATAATAACAAACATAATAAATACAACTTATGAGCAACTTGATGAACTTTAACAAATAACCATTGATCTGCAAAAATGACCATTTGAGAAATTTGCCCTGAGAAATTTGCCCTTGAAACGAGTAAATTCCCATATATACCAAAAATCCTTTGAAATGGTTAAACACTCAATCTTGAACAAATAACACTTGAAATGCAAAAATGTCCATTTGAGAAATTAACCCTTGAAATGAGTAAATGAATATGAGACAATGATTGACGAAACACAAAGACAAGCAGGAATAATTATGTAAGTTAGATCATGGCTGGTTTGGACTAGATAAGTTAGGATACAGCAGTTTGGGAATGTAGATTAAGTTAGGTAAAGCAAGTTAGGTTACTTTAGGATATGTAAGATAAGTTATGTAAGTTAGGTTGTGTAGGTTAAGTTAAGTAAGATAAGTAATGTAAGGTAAGTCCTGTTAGGATAGGTAAAGTTATGTTATGCAGGTTAAGTTAGGTACGATAGGTAAAGGTAAGGTAAGTTAAGTTAGGATAGGTAAAGTCAGGTTTAGGAACGTTGCGCTAACTAAGTAACATTGGGTGGAGAGGATAGGTTACGTAGGATTTGGACAGTGTAGTTCTGAGAACAGTTTTAGGGTAAAGTGACTAAGAAAATATATTTAACAGAAGCGCGGGTTTGGTATGAAAAGCTGAACTAGTTACATTTTGGAGAGAAATTTTATGACTGAAGATGACTTGAAGAATAACATGATGGACGGAGAGTTTCTTTGATGAACGAATGTGTCTTAGAGAACAACTTTTGGTGAACGAAGTGAATTAGAGATCTCTTTGATGATTCTGAGAATAACTTTGATCAACGAAGATGGATTGGAAAGTTTCTCTAGTAGACGAAGGTGCCTTAGAGATTAACTTTTATGATTTAGAGAACAACATTGATGTCTTAGAGATTAACTTTATGATTTAGAGAACAACATTGATGTCTTAGAGAACAACATTGATGTCTTAGAGATCAACTTTGATGAACAAAGATGTCTTAGAAAGCTTCTCTGATGAACGAAAAGTTACTTAGAGAATAACTTTGATGACTGTATTTAACTTTTTGATGGCTCTGAGGTTGGTTTTGTTGAACGAGGATGTCTCGGAAGGCTTCTTTGAATAACGAAGGTGAGTCTGAGAATAACTTTTGATGACTGAGAATGACTTTGTTGTCTTAGAGAATAACTTTGAGAGCTTAGAGAATGTCTTTGATGAACGGAAGGGTACTTAGAGAATAACATATCTTGACTGAGAATAACTTTTGATAGCTCTTAGAGAATAACTTTAGTTGTCTCTGAGAATAACTTTTATGAACGAAGATGTCTGAGATTGACTTTGACGTCTCTTGGAATAACTTTGTGGACATGAGAATATCTTTGGATAACTCTGAGATTAACTTCGATGTCTTTGAAACAACTTTGATGAACGAGAGTGAGTTAGAGATTACCTTTGTTAACTCTGAGATCAACTTTGATGAACAAAAGTGAGTTAGAGATTACATTTGATGACTCTAAGATGAACTTAGATGTCTCTGAGACAAACTTTTATAACATAGAAATTAACTTTAATGACCAAAGTGAGTTAGAGAATACCTTTGATGACTCCGAGAATAACTTTGATGAACAAAGATGTTTTGGAAAGTTTCTCTGAAGAACGAAGGTGACTCCGAGCATAACTTTGCTGTTTCTGAGAAAATCAGTGAGGACTTTGAGAATGGCTTCTGAGAACATGAGTAGTATTTTGTTAACTCAGAGAATAACTTTGGTGACTCTGAGAAAATCGGTGATGACTTTGAGAATGACTTCTGAGAACAACAAGAGTAACTTTGATGTCTTTGAGTAACTCCTTGATGTCTCGAAGAGTGTCTTTGACTATATTTCTTACTTAACGACATATAATTTAGTTAGGAACAATGATGAATATGACTATTTTAGCAAAGTGAAAGGCTACTTTAGTTAAGAACAGTGATGGAAAGAAGTTATACATGTCTATTTCAGATGAGAGAAGTGACATTTCAGTTAAGAAATGACAGGGAAACATGATGAAGTAGCTATTTTTATTTGACTGATGAATACTTGTAGTTAAGGAAAAAGACCAACATGACGAGGGAGACTATTTTGTGCTCCCCAAAGTATAATGTCCGTTAAGAACAGCGATGAAAGATATCTTTGGTTATTTTTCTTACTTGCCAAAACATAATTTTAGTTAGGAACAATGATGATGAATATGACTTTTTCTGTTGATTGATGGATAATTTTAGTTATGAAATGACAATGAAACATGAAGAACATGAATATTTTTCTGATGACTAGGGAATAAGTTTAGTTATGAACAGGGTTGGAAAGATTCCTTTGACTATTTTTGGTTGATTGGATAATAAGTTTAGTTGAGAAATGAGGAAAGTGACTATGTTTTAGTTGATTGGCGAAAGATTTTTAGTTAAGAAGTCACAAGAAAAGGTTTGTCTTTGTAAATTTGGAACTGAATAAAGTGTAGATTTGTTTAAGAATGGGTTGGTAGAACTATTAAGCTGACGATGACGAGAATTACTTTGACATAGTTTTGTAAATAAAAACTGAGTGACTAAAATTGTTGAGGGGACTGTATTGCCGTATAATATTATTTGACAAAGAACTAGTTAGTGAATGGAAGAAACAAAGAAAGAAACATAAAATAAAAAAAATTGAGGTTAAGTAGGGGAATGAACACAGTGAACATACGGTGAACGCAGAAAACATGTAAGAAAAAGTTGATGAATAGAGTGAGCATGCAGGGAATATGAACTTATAGAGAATATGAAAACATGATAAGGAACATAGGGAATACAAGAATGAACACTGAACATGTGAAGAACAAGCTAAGAACATTGAGAACATGAATATTGAGTATAAAAGTTATACAGAGAACATATGATGTACATGAAAACCTGACAAAGAACATAGTGAACATACGGGGAAAATGGTAGAAAACAGAAAAAAATGAGAAAAACAGGTGAAAAGAATTGAACTGAGCATGCTGTGAACATTTGTAGAACATGGAATGAACACAGAAACATGTAAGAAAAAGTTTATGAATAGAGTGAACATGCAGGGAATATGAACTTATAGAGAATATGAAAACATGATAAGGAACATAGGGAATACAAGAATGAACACTGAACATGTGAAGAACAAGCTAAGAACATTGAGAACATGAATATTGAGTATAAAAGTTATACAGAGAACATATGATGTACATGAAAACCTGACAAAGAACATAGTGAACATACGGGGAAAATGGTAGAAAACAGAAAAAAATGAGAAAAACAGGCGAAAAGAATTGAACTGAGCATGCTGTGAACATTTGTAGAACATGGAATGAACACAGAAAACATGTAAGAAAAAGTTGATGAATAGAGTGAACATGCAGGGAATATGAACTTATAGAGAATATGAAGACATGATAAGGAACATAGGGAATACAAGAATGAACACTGAACATGTGAAGAACAAGCTAAGAATTGAAATCAACTATTTTTTCACATATTATGCTAACACCATATGTCTATATGGTGAGAGATGTAACGAAGATGGACTAAGTCATACTTTCATTTAAAAACGATATTCGGTCTGTAGAAAGTTGATTTGCGTTACGTTACGTTACGTTACATTGTGTTATAGAGGGTTAAAACTGGTATACCGTAATATTCATATGCTAAGAGATGTAATGGAGATATTGTGTTTGGCTAAATGAGTTCACATTTCAATAATGATATTCGGACAACAGCCAGAAAGTTGATCTCTACGTTACTTAATGATGATATAATGCGATGCAATCGTGTGCTAATATTTTATTTGTGTTAGAATGTAAGGGCTATAGGAGTTTGTCTAGACTTGCATACATTTTCAAACGCTATTTATGTAGGCAGTAGAAAGACTGGTTTCCCATTACGCTACATTGACTGTGATACAAGAACTGAAAAACAGACTTAACCCAGACCTATTTCACTATCGACTCACCGGTCTTATTCTCATCGATTGGTGTTTACATTGGATGACGTAGGTCTTAAGAGAGACAGCCTTGATGGAGAAAGATACGTGAACAGCGGCAGCAGGAGAAAGGAAATGATGTTACTTTCCCCAACTACTAAATGATCTGGAGAGAGAGAGAGACTGAGAGACTGAGAGACTGAGAGACTGAGAGACAGAGAGACAGAGAGACAGAGAGACAGAGAGACAGAGAGACAGAGAGAGACAGAGAGAGAGAGACAGAGAGACAGAGAGACAGAGAGATAGAGAGACAGAGAGAGAGAGAGAGACAGAGAGAGAGAGAGAGAGAGAGAGAGAGAGAGAGAGAGAGAGAGAGAGAGAGAGAGAGAGAGAGAGAGAGAGAGAGAGAGAGAGAGAGAGAGAGAGAGAGAGAGAGAGAGAGAGAGAGAGAGAGAGAGAGAGAGAGAGAGAGAGAGAGAGAGAGAGAGAGAGAGAGAGAGAGAGAGAGAGACAGAGAGAGAGAACAGCAAATTATGATTTGTTATAATAATAAGATTGAAGACCTGCTTATGACTGGATATTCTTAAAAAAATACTATTTGAGCAAAGAATGGTGATACTAAAGCTTAGAACATAACATCCGGACTGGGAATGGGGGCAGTGATGGTTTGGCCATGGAGGGGGGTGGTAGGGGTAAGGGTAGGTGGGGGTGGACGGGGAGAGGGTAAGGCCGAGCCATTACATCCTCCATCTCAATACACTTCAAACCATCACGAAGGTGAGACTGCAGCGAGAGGGGCTGCCGGTTCATTCATTCAGGAGTCTTGCTATGGATGTAGGACGGAGAGGTGATGGAGATTGAGTAAACATGCATACATTTCAATATTTATTTGGCCAGCAGATGTTGTGATCACAGTTAACAAGAACAATTTGTAGGTAGAGATCGCGTCTCCGTGACGATGTGAAATGTTTCTCTCTTTTAGTAAATGCTAACCTACTGACTTTGACTGAGTTTACTAAGTGAAGGGTCGTGTGGTGGACTTTAGAGAGGGAGAGAGACAGAGACAGAGACAGAGAGAGAGAGAGAGAGAGAGAGAGAGAGAGAGAGAGACAGAGAGAGAGAGAGAGAGAGACAGAGAGAGAGAGAGAGAGAGAGAGAGAGACAGAGACAGAGACAGAGACAGGGACAGGGACAGAGACAGAGACAGAGAGAGAGATAGAGAGAGAGATAGAGAGAGAGACAGAGACAGAGAGATAGAGAGTCGCGAACCGTAGCGAAACGCACTGGTAATGGTTGCCCGGTATGGGAGCGGGTGGGGATGAGGGGTGGGAGTGATTGATTGATGGCTGACAGGTGTGTCTGTCGGCAGGAGTAAGTACCTCGCGCCTCCTTACCGGAATCCACAGTGTATGGGGAGTCGTCGTGGGACGAACATCAACACTCTGAAGACAACGAAAACCTTTTAGACAAAATGGCCTCCACTTCCGCAGGAGAGTGCCCTCTCGCTCTCTCACCCCTCAACACGTGCGACTTCCTGTAGGGGGGAAGCTAATGGACCTCCCCGGCCTTCCTCTCAGGTATGTGGGTTCTCCTCTCCCTCCCCCCCCTCACTCCTCCCCAAAACAACATATCCAATATGCTGGTTCCCCTCTCATCCTCTAATCACGATCATCAAACTAATATTAACCTCACTCAGGATTAAGTCTATGACAAACACACATACATATTCATTTACTCCTTCCTCATATTCCACTCTTATCCTTGTATTTTTCCTACTCTACCACATAGCACACATACTCTCCTACAACATGAACTCCCATCTTTCCTGACCACTTACCTTAACCCATGAGGACTGGAGCGACGCGCTCCAATTACCTCCGACACGCGCCATAACTTCCGGGAAATTCCCCGAAAAAAACTTGAGGACGGGAGCGACGCGCACCACCTGGCACTCATCAACATGACCTCCCCTCTTTCCTGTCCACATACCCAAACACCGGACGCTCACACGCGTCCGAAACACGCCAAAACTTCCGGGAAATTCCCCAAAACCCCTGAGGACTACGACGACGCGCGCGACACCTGTCGGGTGGCACTCACCTGAAGGTGACTGACACCTGGCAGGTGCCGCGCGCGTCGCCGTAGTCCTCAACCACACTACTGACGCCGTGAGGTTCTAAGGGCGTTGGAGACACCGAGTGGTGTTGGGAGCGTTGGAGACGCTGTGATGTGTTGAGGACGTTGGTGACGTTGTGTGGTGTTGAAGGCGTTAGAGACGCCATGAGGTGCTGATGGCGTTGGAGACGCAGTGTGGTGTTGAGGGTGTTTGAGACCCTGTGTGGTGTTGGGGGCGTGGGAGACACCGAGTTGTGTTGGGGGCGTTGGTGACGCCGTTTGGTGTTAGGGGCATTGGTGACGCCATGCGGTGTTGAGGGGTTTGGAGACGCCCTGTGGTGTTGAGGGTGTTGCAGACGCAGTGTGGAGTTGAGGGCGTTGGAGATGCCGTGTGGTGTTGAGGGCGTTGGAGACGCCGTGTGGTGTTGGGGGCATAGGAGACGCAGTGTGCTGTTGAGGGCGTTGGAGTCGCCGAGAGGTGTAGAGGGTGTTGGAGAAGCTAAGTGATGTTGAGGGCGTTGAGAACGCCGTGTTGTGTTGAGGGCGTGGAGTCGCCAAGTGGTGTTGAGGGCGCTGCAGACACCGAGTTATGGTGAGGGCTTTGTAGACGCCGAGTGGTGTTGAGTGCGTTGGAGACGCCGAGTGATGTTGAGGGCGGTGGAGACGCCGAGTGGTGTTAAGGGTGTTGGGGACGTCGTGTGGTGTTTAGGGCGTTGGAGTCGCCGTGTGTTGTTGAGGGCGTTGGAGACGCCGAGTGTTGTTGCGATCGTAGGAGATGCGTGTGGTGTTGAGGGCGTTGGAGACACCGAGTGGTGTTGAGGGCGTTGGAGACGCCGAGTGGTGTTAAGGGCGTTGAAGACGCCGGGAGGTGTTGGGGGCGTTGGAAACTCCCTGTGGTGTTGAGGGTGTTGGAGACACCGAGTGGTGTTGAGAGCGTTGGAGACGCCGAGTGATGTTGCGGGCGTTGCAGACGCCGTGTGGTGTTGAGGGTGTAGGAGACGAAGTGTGGTGTTAAGGGCGTTGGAGACGCCGGGAGGTGCTGGGAGCGTTGGAGACTTTGTGTGGCATTCAGGGCGTTGAAAACGTCCTGTGGTGTTGAGGGTGTTGGAGACGCCGTGTGGTGTTGAGGGCATTGGAGACGCCGAGTTGTGTTGAGGGAGTTGGAAACGCCCTGTGGTGTTGAGGGTGATGGAGACGCCATGTGATGTTGAGGGTGAAGGAGACGCCGAGTGGTACTGAGGGCGTTGGAGACGCCAAGTGGTGTTGAGGGCTTGGGGACGCCATGTGGTGTTGAGGGCGTTAGAAACGCTGAGTGGTGCTGAGGGCGTTGGAGACGCCAAGTGGTGTTGAGGGCGTTGGTGACACTGAGTGGTATTGAGGGCGTTGGAGACGCCAAGTGGTGTTGAGGGTGTTGGAGACCCCGAGTGGTGCTGAGGGCGTTGGAGACGCGGCGTTGTGTTGGGATAGTTGGAGACGCCGTGTGGTGTTGAGTGCATTAGAGACGCCGTGTGGTGTTGAGGGTGTTGGTTCGCTGAGTGGTGTTGGGGCGTTGGAGACGCCGTGTGGGGTTAAGGGCGTTGGTGACGCCGTGTGGTGTTGGGGCGTTGGAGACGCCATGTGATGTTGAGGGCGTTGGAGACGCCCTGTAGTGTTGAGGGCATTGGTGACGGCCTGTGGTGTTGAAGGCGTTGGGGACACCGAGTGGTGTTGAGGGTGTTGGAGACGCCGTGTGGTGCTTTGGGCGTTGGAGACACCGAGTTGTGTTTGGGGCGTTGGGGACGACGTTTGGTGCTGGGGGCATTGGAGACGCCTTGTGGTGTTGGGGGCATTGATGACGCCATGCGGTGTTGAGGGGGTTGGAGACGCCCTGTGGTGTTGAGGGTGTTGCAGAAGCCATGTGGTGTTGAGGGTGTTGGAGACGCCGAGTGGTGTTGGAGGCGTTGGAGACGCTGTTTCCTGATTGATACTTGGTTGATGGGGTTCTGGGAGTTCTTCTACTCCCCAAGCCCGGCCCAAGGCCAGGCTTGACTTGTGAGAGTTTGATCCACTACGCTGTTGCTTGGAGCGGCCCGCAGGCCCACATACCCACCGCATCCCGGTTGGTCCGGCACTCCTTGGAGGAATAAATCTAGTTTCCTCTTGAAAATGTCCACGGTTGTTCCGGCAATATTTCTTATACTTGCTGTGTGCTGTTGAGGGCGTTGGAGTCGTCGAGAGGTGTAAAGGGCGTTGGAGACGCTGAGTGATGTTGAGGGCGTTGGTGACGCCGTGTTCTGATGAGGGCGTGGAGTCGCCGAGTGGTGTTGAGGGCGTTGGAGACGCCGAGTTATGGTGCGGGCGTTGGAGACGCCGAGTGGTGTTAAGTGCGTTGGAGACGCCGAGTGATGTTGAGGGCGGTGTAGACGCCAAGTGGTGTTGAGGGCGTTGGACACGCCATGTGGTGTTGAGGGATTTGGGGACGTCGTGGGGTGTTTAGGGCGTTGGAGTCGCCGTGTGGTGATGAGGGCGTTGGAGACGCCGAGTGTTTTGGGGATCATAGGAGACGTCGTGTGGCGTTGAGGGCGTTGGAGACACCGAGTGGTGTTGAGGGCGTCTGAGACGCCGAGTGGTGTTGGGGGCAGTGCTGTGGGACATTTGGGGCTTGACTCTATTTATTTAAATATTAATGTAATGAAATCAATTACGAAGGACCACCCTCTTTTATAGTAAAGAGGGAAACTAATAAAATGTGATCATTAGAAAATTCCTAGAGGAACCAGTAACTATGGATAAATACTAGAGAATATAATCACTTGTATAATTAATGGGCTGTATATAATTTAATTGAATCAAAGCCTCAAACACCTACATTGGTGGGGGGGGTATTACTAGAACTTCATATATGCCTATAGTAAAGAGGGAAACTAATAAAATGTGATCATTAGAAAATTCCTAGAGGAACCAGTAACTATGGATAAATATTAGAGAATATAATCACTTGTATAATTAATGGGCTGTATATAATTTAATTGAATCAAAGCCTCAAACACCTACATTGGGGGGGGGGTATTACTAGAACTTCATATATGTCTAGGAACTAGTGTGGTTCGTGCACCAGTTCATTATGTAATAACCTAATCTTTAGACCAATTATTGAATCAATAAAATTTGTCACCAATAGGAACATAGATTATGAATATCAGAAATTAATGATTATAATAAACACGTGTCAAATCCAGTGAACAGTGATCTATGGTAATAATACACTACAGATAATTTAATCAATGGAATACGGAAAAGGGTCTTAGCTTGAAGGCGTTTTCCAGGACATCAATCATGAATCATCCTCGGAATCTCCTGAACTCATCATGGAACACTGGGAGATGATTAACACGGGAAAGTGACAGCTCGGGGAATTCTTCACACGCGAGCTGTAAATCAAGATATATTACGTAGCAACCTATTAGGCTGATAAATATCTATATTCAAGAATTGGTAATGGAGAGTGAAAATAAATACTAACGTGTATTTTATTTATATCGCTCAGCGTGACGACAAGCTACCCGGCTATAACCTATCTCTAATGATGCATCAAAAGGGAATAAAGGTACTTAGCTAATAGGGCACTGTGTAAGTTGAGGCTTGCCAAAGCTCGCGTCTTAGGCTCTAGCGTCGTAAGAGCGAACACGTGGCGTTGAACTAGCCTAGATGTCGAAGCGCTTCTCTGGCCGGTCACGATGGACTACACGGAACAAATTAACAGGTTCCGGGCTGAATGTCAAGTTAATTCTCGTTGACGATTCACCACGATGTATCCTGTGACACTGACACCAGCCAAGTTGCTCAATTCCGCAACTATTCTTCACACCGCACGTTGGCGACTTTCCTCTCTCGTCGACGCCTACACACGCTATCGGTGGCGTCTTCTCGATTAATGGCGTCTCCTCTGCCCCCCGCTCCGCGTCCCGCATTTGCTCCACAAATTATTTACTGCGAATAATATTGTTCCTCGCAGTTGCGACTGAAATGCTTGGATAATGACGGGTTTATTATTCAGAGGAGTTAAATATTATTATTTGCTCGTTTTACGATGGTAAACGAGCAATGGAGATGAATCTAATTCTCTCCATGGCATTCACGCGTGACATTAAATTTATTACCAGATAACAGTTGTAACTAGAAACGCTCTATTTGGCATTATTTGGGAGTCAGGTTATCGGTAAATAATTATCACACAGAACACTGTTGTTTTTAGAGAATCAAACTCAATTCTCTGACACACTGGATATAGATGTGTTTATTATGATGGAATCTGATGCAATACTGGCGTCTGGTGACGTAAGAATTCTAGCATTATTGTACAGATACAATTATTAATACATGTGAACTCTACGGTTGGTTAATTTTAGTTACTACAGTGATTAGTAGATTTAGTAATAATTAATAATAATACAACAGTGTTGTATTAGTGTTGGAAATTTCCAACAAGTGCAGACCCCACGTGGTGTTGAGGGCGTAGGAGACGCCGTATGGTGTTAATTAAGGGCGTTGGAGACGCTTCGAGGTGTTGGGGGCGTTGGAAACGTTGTGTGGTGTTAAGGGCGTTGGAGACGGTAAGTGGTGATGAGGGCGTTAGAAATGTCCCGTGGTGTTAAGGGTGTAGGAAACGCCGTGTGGTGTTGAGGGCGTTGCTAACGCCGAGTGGTGTTGAGGGCGTTGGAAACGCTCTGTGGTGTTGAGAGTGTTGGAGACGCCGTGTGATGTTGAGGGCTTTGGTGACATTGTGTGGTGTTGAGGGCGTTGGAGACGCCGTGAGGTGTTGAGGGCGTTGGAGACCCCGAGTGGTGTTGGGGGCGTTGGAGATGTCGTCTGGTGTTGACTGCGTAGGTGACGTTGTGTGATGTTGAGGGCGTTGGCGACGCTATGTGGTGTTCAGGGCGTTTGAGACCCCAAGTGGAGTTGAGGGCATTGGAGACGCCATGTGGTGTTGAGGGTGTAGGAGACGCCGAGTGGTACTGAGGGCGTTGGAGACGCCGAGTGGTGTTGAGGGCGTTGGAGACGTCGTGTGGTGTTGAGGGCGTTGGAGACCCCAAATGGTGTTGAGGGCGTTGGAGACGCCGTGTGGTGTTAAGGGTGTAGGAGACGCCGAGTGGTATTGAGGGCGTTGGAGACGCCGAGTGATGTTGAG